CTCCCTAACAACTTTTTTTTTCTTTCTTCGTAACTCTCTCACGTCCCCCTTTTTTTTTTTCCTCTGCTATGCTTCACGTTAGCAAGTTTTTTGTTTTGTTTTTCCATGTGAGAAATGGCATTATTACTCCATGTAGTTTTTCATTAATGCCATGACTCACCTTTCAGCTAAGCATATACATAACAAGTGGTAAACCTGCATGTGAGGTATATATCCACCTCCACCTCACGGTAACAATCCTTTTTCCTTTTTTTTTTTAATAACGTACTTATATATATATATATATATATATACACTATAACTTGGTTCAACCTGTTTTTGTTCTTAGCCATATCAAAGATACGTGCTAACAAATGAGTGGACTCTATACTTATCAAATTTTTCTTGTCGAGACCTAACTTTCCGTTTCTCAAAACAAGTCTCTTTCCGGTACTAATAATTTCACAATCAGTACAGGTTCTATACTGCTTTTCTGAACTGTCAAGTACTTTGGGTCAAACTTCTCATGTTCAACCCAATTCTCTTGGGTATCTCATTAGTCAATTTCTTTTTCTAAAATTTTCATTTTAATCGATCCAGAATTGCCCAAAACCTTACCCTCGCGGCATTGGTTTTTTTAGCAGTTTCCCACTTTAACTGGCTCAGAAAAATTCTGTTTCAGGAACTTTTACTATTTTCCTTACTTCTAATATTTCTACTCTTTTTCTAACTGGTCATTTGGTCGCAAATCAAATAATTCAGTTTTTCATAACTAAAATATACTCGCTAAAATTTCTAACTTTTAACTCATATTTTACTATTCATAATTGATATTAATATTCGTATTTCTTTGTAATAATATTTAGCATTTAAAAAAATTAGATTTTAAAAAATAAGTGCATTAGAATATGTGTTTTTCGACATATGCATATAATGTATTACACAATATACTTAATATTATATAGTATATTATACTATACACGATATATTTGTATGAAAAATAGGATATAATTAATTGGAGTGGGCAAATAGGCAATAGAGTCGAGGATCTTCAACTTTGCTCCTGCATTGCACACCAATGAAAGGTTGAAACTTTAACCCAGTTCAATCTCACCCCATTTAAACTGATTTTCCCCAACCTATTTAAGGTAGGTCCCAGGAAGGTCCCGGAAAAATAGATTTTCAGTAAAATTACATCCCCGCGAGTTGAATAATATTACATATATTTGATTTATAGAGAAGAAAAATATGTTTAAGTAAGGGCATATTTGAAAATAATTATTGCATGGTAGTTGTTTTTTACATATAAAAAATATTTAAAAACAAACCATATAGAAAACTAATTAGAGTGTACATACGAGAAGAAGAAAAATGTTTGATTCAAAATATTTTTGTAAAAAAAATTTTGGTGTAAAAAAGATCAATAAAATTAGTCAAACACAAATCTAACATATATAGAAGATTTTCGTAAAAATATTTAAGTAGGGGTACATTTGTAAAAAAAATATTTGAATTGAGAAATTAAAAGATAAAAAATAATTTAATAAAGTAAAAGAAACATTGATGAAGGACGCGATGTAAATAAAAACTAAATAAGGCCTAAAGAAAAAAAAATGGCCGCACACGTGGTTGAAGGAGCGCTCTTGCGTATTGCGCATTACGACTTTGATATAGTTATATTAAGCCCCGTTCACTTCACCAATTTGAGTTTAGAATTTGAGTTTTGCTACAGTAAAAAGTTCTCAGAAACAGTCACATCTAACCTTTTTGCTACAATAAAAAGCTCTCACATAAAATCACATCTCAACTCAAATTACAAACTCGAATCAGCGAAGTGAACAGGCCCTTAGACTACTTGAAAACATGTTACATATTTTGTTGGATATAGTGATCTAACATTTCTTGAAATTTTTTATTTACTTATTCTTCTTTTAAGAATTTAATTTCGTAAAAAATAAAAGATAAAAAGATTAAGTTGAATATAGTTAAAAAGAAAACAAAATTTTTAGTGGAGCAAATTAAAGAGTAAATTAATTTTAGGGTGCATATGATGTAACATAAATGAAAGATTAAATTATGCAAATAAAAAATAAGGGAGGACCAAAAGCAAGAAAATAAATGAAAGGAAGACAAATTGGAAACAAAAAATATTTGTGGAGAAAAATATTTTAATGTGCTAATTATAAAAAATATATATAAGGATAAATTTTGTTATAAGAAGAGTTACATAGAAAATAATAAAGCAGGGACACATTTGAAGAAAATTATTTTAGTCATTGATGAAAATAAAGAGAAAAATAATATATAAAAACCTATGAAAAAATTATTTTCTAAAAGTAAAGGTAGGAAAAAGTAGTTTTGAAAAGCACATCCTTGGTTAGGAAAAAAATAGTTTTGAAAAGCATGTCCTTGGTGTCTCACGGTGTGTGTGGCTCGAACAACCACAAATAATTCACAACTCAAGAACCTATAGGGGGAGGAACAAAGTTTTGACGTATTTTTATCACGCTCATTTGTGCCTTGATATGTTGAACAAAATTTTAACGTATTTCTATCACGCAAGTTTATGACTTGATATCTAGTTATTTATAGTCACGCCTAGAGAGAGCTTAACAGAGTTTTGACGTATTTTTATCACGCTCGTTTGTGGCTTGATATGTGGAACAGAGTTTTGACGTATTTCTGTCACGCTCGTTTGTGCCTTGATATCTAGATATTTATAGTCATACTTATCGTAAAGAGAGCAAGCACAAAATATAAAAAGTGTTTCTTCAGATATTTGCCAGAGAGCAAGTTACCCGACGACTCATCCCGTCAGAATATTAGAAATATTCTAATATTTCAAAAATGATATTTTCTCTTTTATGTCTTATGAATTTTATTCTAAATAAAATCCACGCGTTTATTTTTGGATTGTGCACCGTTATAGGCGCTTTAAAGTCCTACAATGTTTTTGGTGGTCTGAATGTTTTACCTTTTGCGCCTAATTTTTCGAGCAGTTCAGAGAGATCCCCTTGGTCTAAGGTTCTTGATTTTAAACTTAAAAAATATCTTCTAGGTGCAGTGAGATCTCCTTTTTTTTCGGGAGAAGAAATCAATGTTCTTTGATAGAAAAATTTGTTGTCTTTGGTAGGAAGAAAATTTATAGTGTTAAAAAGAGTTCAATCAATTATCATTCTTCAAGAGAAGAATTTAGAGTTTTTAGGAGAAAATAATCTACCAAGTGAAGGGATCACATCACGTAGAGATTGTAGACGAGTGATGCTTGTTGAATAAGACTATTGAATTGGTTCTACACAGCGGCGATAAAAACAAAGAAAGAGTCTTTATTTATATAAGTCTAATTAATATTTGTAATAGTTGAGAATTGGTGAATTGTTCAATAGTTAGAAATGACTCCACGAATGTAGTCCATACCAAATGACGTAAAAGATTATCTAAGTTCATTTTTTATTTTACACTTTCGGTAAAATATTAATTTGATATTAATTATATCTGAAAAATTGCTTAAAAAACGCATCTTTCACCTTAAAATAAATATATATAAAAAAAAGATAAAACGGTGTGCTATCAGATGATGCATCTTAATCAGATAGTATATCTAGGAAATGCTTCAATAGTGTATAACTTCTCTTTCTCAGCAAATTATTAGCCAAACAAAGCATTTTGGAAAACATCTTCATAATTTTCGAAAAAAAGAGAGAAAACATTTTCATGGGGAAGGAAAACACTAGTCTCAGTTATAAAAATAAAAAAAATAAAAAAAAATAAAAAAAGAAAAGAAATTCTCCTTTCGAGCACAAACAACAAGCTAGAGGTGAATTTTGTAACGATACTTTAAATCTAAGTGGATCAAGTTGTAATACCAAAAATAAAAGTTAATTTCTAAAGGGTTTTTGGCACAATTACCTTCTAAATTTGTCGTGATTTAATAAATTATCTCATAAATTTTTAATTTTAATAAGTTATTTTCTGAACTTGTAAATTTATTACAATGTGCCCCATTTAACTAAATTTGTTTAAAATTTTTATTAGTTTTAAAAGATTAAAAGTTGAGATACTGAAATATTGGTGTTACATTTTAATTAAAATGTTAAAATTTTTTACTGACCGTACTTTTTTTATACTAATTTAATACAATGGTCATCAAAATAAGACATATTGTAACAATTTCATAAATTGAAAATACAACTTACAAAAATTAAAAATTTAAAAGTAATTTACTAAACTACAACAAATTTAAGAGGGGAAATGTGCTAACAACCCCTTTCTAAAATAATGAAAATCACGTGTCAGGACTATTTTCATAATTACCCTTATTATCTTTTTGCGCAGCCTCTTTTGACGACAGAGAATATGTGCTCACGAATCCAAGATTAGGCATCTGTTTTCAACCAACTTTTTGGTTGAATCGCAATAAGGATTTTGGTGCTCGTGACGTAATGTGGTTGTCATCTCGTAGAGGTATTAGACATTTTGTTAGAGATTCACAGTCCTCTAGAAGTGTACTAATTTTGTTAATTTCTTCATTTCAAATATATATATATATATATATATATATATATCGAGGATGTGTTTTGTGACTACTAATTGGAGTTTCTACCACAAGAAAAGAAAAAACTAGTAAGATATTTGGAGTGAAAAACAATTAATGCATGGAAATAGGTAAACCAGAACAGGATCTCATGAGTACTTGATTTCTTATGGGAAAAAAGAAAGTTAATGACCGATGTCTATGACCTAACAGGCTAAGACCACATAAGTGTTATACACACACACACACGCGCGCGCGCGCGCATCTTATACCGAACTCAAATACAAATATAAAATTATCCTTGGATTATGATTGCAACCACCACCACCAACAATATTTCATCATTACAGAAATTGCGTAGGGTCCACATGAATATAGAACTATATCCAAAGGAAATTTCCTGAAGCCATGGAAGCACCAATTTCTACATCATAAGCATATATAACATAATGTTCTACAGACTCGTCCATTAAACCAAGGAATTCTCCGTCACACTGCAGCCATGGAAGCACCAACTCTCTGCAGCTACGACCGGTTGAAGGAAGTGAAGGAGTTCGACGAGTCGAAAATCGGAGTTAAAGGCCTCTCCGATTCCGGCATAACCTCTATCCCTAAGTTCTTCGTCCACCCTCCCGAAACCCTATCCGACCTCAAAAAACCATCTTTATCCGCTACATCTATCTCCATCCCAATCATAGACCTCTCCAACATCAACTCCCCATCAGACCGTCCAAATCTCGTCGATCAAGTCAGTGACATGGCCAAGACATGGGGCTTCTTCCAGGTGATCAACCACGGCATTCCGGCGTTGGTCCTCGACGACACCGTTTCGGCCATCAAAGCCTTCCACGACCAGCCCTACGAGGTTAAGTGCAAGTACTACAAACGACAAGAAGGACAAGGCGTCATGTTCGCGAGCAACAACGATCTCTACCGCGCCGGCGCCGCCTCCTGGCACGACTCCCTTCAGGCCTGGCTGGGCCCGGAGCCGTTGACGGCCGAGGAGATTCCGGAGGTGTGTCGGGAGGAGGTGGTCTCGTGGGGATCACGCGCCACGGAGGTGGCGGAGAGGCTGATGGAGTTGCTGTCCGAAGGGTTGGGGTTGGAGAGTGGTAAGTTTAAGGAGTTGTCGTTTTTGGAGACGAAGGCTCTTGTTGCACACTGCTACCCGTACTGTCCGCAGCCGGATCGAACGGTCGGGATTACGTCGCATACCGATCCGGGGATTCTGACGGTCCTGATTCAGAACCAGGTGTCGGGGCTGCAGGTGAAGCATGGTGATGTTTGGGTGAATGTGGAGCCTGTGCATGGTGGCTTGGTTGTCAACGTGGGTGACTTTCTTCAGGTATTTTTCTTTTGAAATGATCTCTTCAAACAATGCTACCTAGTACTGATGGCGTTCATTTATGCTATAGGACACCAGTGTGTTTAATATCACCCACTAATAGAAAGTGAAACTTGCAGTTTGAAACCTACCTGTGGAGTCCATATTCTATAAGTGAGAGTGCTTAATACCGGATGTGTTTCTAAGTATATTTTTCAAATAAAAAGTACATCTAGCACCATAAAGCTTATAGATCCGGTCCATTTTTTGTTAGTGGTGTTGTTTAGTACTGTCTGTGCGTCAAGTATTATATAAGATTAGATTATATTAATTTTTCCTATTACTAGTGTAAAACAAGTATTTCAAAGCATCAGATAATGAAAGTTGGTTTTTTTTCTTTTTTCACTATGTAAGCTATATGGTTTTTTTTTTTTTTTTGACCAGATTATCTCTAATGGTGCGTACACGAGTGTGCAACACAGAGTGCTGGCAAACTCCTCCAAGGAACCTCGAATCTCAGTTGTCATATTTTTCAACGTGGCCAAATGGAAGGGCGATGGTCATTATGGACCCCTGCCGGAGTTGTTGTCACCGGAAAAGCCACCGATATATAGAGATTTTACACAAAAGGAATTCCTTGACAATTTCTACAGCAAGGCAATCGATAACAAGTCTCTCATAGAAAAAATAAAGATAAGAAAATAAAATAAACAGTAGTATAAAGCATCACCTTTTATTAGTGGCAATATATACTTAACAAAGATGATGTCCAAAACACTTTTCTAATAAAATAAGTAAAGAAGGATAGTGTTGACAATTGGGGAATATATTGTATCAAAATTTTATCAAAACTTATATATGATAAATATTGCGTGTGATATTGTACTTCGAAAAGCTTAATATTTTGGTGTGTATGCTCAATCTTTAATTTGGAGAAAATAAAATGACAGTGAATACCTTTACTTATACCTTTTGTTGGAAAATCTTATTATTACCTTCCACTTAATTTTCTATCAAGGAAGTCTAAAGTGTAGACGTTGTCACATGAATTGCTTGTTGGTTTTCGAAACAATTTCATATACAGAAGCGTGTAATTAGCAGATTGTGTATAACAAAAATTTTCATAAAACTTTGAAATACTCTATAGATTACATTAATTCAAATTAATTTATATACCTAGCGAACGATTAGATCGATAACTTAACTTCTTTGACCATGAACGTTCATCGCTGCAAGTTAGTTTAGAACACCCAAATCTTCCTCATCAATTCTTAGAATCTACAAAAATGTGTGTGTGAAACACCTAAAATAAACTAGAATTAGCAAATAAACACTCAAGTTTTTTACGAATACCAACACATGCACGACGTGAAATTTAGGAGAAAATTTTTTCTTTCCTCACTCTATAAAATTCGGCCACTATAGCTAGGAGAGAAATTTTGTGCTCTCTAATTTTCTACAATTTTCTATTTGTAGAGTAGTAGTCAGACTCCCAAAAGAAGTCTAATCTTTATCTCCAAGATAAAAGGTTGATAATTATCTCCCACTTATAATTTGATTTTGAAACAAAATCCACTCTCCCTTATCCATATGTTGGTTGGCCACCATAGGGAGATTTGCAGCTAGGGAATAGAGCAAAATTCTACATTTATCCTGCAGTCTAATTTTGACTCAAATTCAAATTCTAATTTAAGTCAAACTTAAATTAATTTGAATTTCAAATTGGACAACTTATCAAATAAGTGTAATGGATAACTTGGAGAGCAAGCAATTGAATCCCAGAGGGATTCACACTGTGCTTGGCGTTCACACTATGTGAACACATTCACATGTGTGTTCTAAAATTCAAATTTAAATTTAAATAATCACATTATTTAATTTATAATTAATTCTCAATTAATTATTCTAAGTGTTTTATTTTAGAATTTCATAATTCTAAAATTCTCATTTTGCCTTTAGTGTCTTGTAGAATTATAAGGACGACGCGGGGACTCATAGACCTATAATTGCGAGCTTCAATAAAAATTAATAATTAATTAAACTCTTTAATTATTTAATTAATTCTATTAATTTCAAAAGTTACTCCATGATAAACTTGGAATTGTACTCTCGTAATTATACATAAATTACTTATAAATTATGAAATGTCCATTTGATATAGTCATTACATATAGATCAATCATCTATAAATAACTCATAACTAGAGCTAAGTGAAATCCGTTAACCTCTCTAATTACATCTTTATCCTTGAGTATCATTAATTCTCTAATAGACAGTGATTCATAAAACAAACTCATGAATCGGAGCTCCTACTGGTCCAAGTACTGAATCAACCCTCAAGAGAATTATTTATCTACTTCTTTCTCAAGAAGGCATGGTTTCATCTTGTATAATAACATTCCTGACTACTTACTTCATCATGTCTCAAAAATACAAGGAATAGGATTCAAGTGTCCTTGAACTTTTGGTCATCATTTCTACGTTCATACTTAGCTCATTTCCTATCTTTAGTACTTTTAATTATAACCTCTTAAAAATTCAGGCTAATTTCTTTTTTTACCTTCAATGGTAAAATTGATACTAATAATCTTTGGCGGAATAAAACCTCGTTCAGTGATTTTTATAAAACTCGGATATAAAAAATTACTATCCTCAAAAAGTTTTCAACTTTTCTTTTAAAACCTTGAACTTGTTTTCCTTAATCGTGGTCATCTATTTAACCTATCATTCGCATACCATTACCATTCATATGCCATTAATATAATAGCATTTTGATACATTAACATACCTTGTGACTTGAGTTTGCTATACATAGTCTCGTTGTCTCGTACACTTTACTTTAATTACATAACTTGTTTACATTCATAAACATTATTTACCTTATACACATAAAACTTAACAGCGTTTTCAAAACACGTGATGCATCAATTATCCATTTGCCACATCCCACTGTTACATCCTTTTTTGCACGCCCAACATACAGGTTTCAGGGAGCCGGTGCCTTACCCGAGCTTTCTACAACACGAACAAACGGGATGAGCTTTCGCTCAGCAAGTAACAACAGTTCACAATAAATACCAAACAGTAATGCATACCCATATATGCATTCATATCATACGTCCTAGCACACTTCCCTAACATTCAAAGTGTTCATCATATTATGCTTTCTTTTCTTTCGTATTATGCTCTCTTTTCTTTCGTTTCATACTTCTTAACATCTTTCATTTTTGTGTCGTTCATTTTTCTTAACTTTTACTTTTTATGGGCCCCATCTTGTTGTACCGTTATGCGCATAACCAGTGAAGAGTGGGGTAGCTAACCAAAATTAACTCACTCACGGTTTTGTTTCATTCATAACCATAATAACCTTTCCTTGCGAAGACCGGTACAAACAATATTATTAACTTCTTATCTTTTGCCATCTTTATTTATTCATCCTCTTACTGTCATCATTTCATATTATGACAGTAATTTTAATCTTTTCATCTTACTATCTTTTTTTTCATATTATGACAGTAATTTTAGTCTTATCGTCTTACTGTTATCTTTTCTTATAATGATAGTAATTTTAGTCATAATGGTACATCTTTGAGCATTCTTACTAATTTCTTATGAAATTAGACTTTATTCAAATGTTTAACTTTCGTTGACTTTGACTTTGACTTTATTGCAGATTAAAATTCTACTGCTAATACAAGTCCATAAGCACATTCAAAGCAACAAACAAGTTTCAAGAAACATCTTTCACTTAGTGACGTACAATGAAATCCTCACATGCACCATTTTGTGCAACACAAAGAAATAGTCTTATTTGTGGTATAGACATAAAAAAACTACTGTACTTACAGGAGTTCTGCTAAGGTCACGGATTTCAAGTCTCCAAAAACCTTGCTTCCTTGATCGCCTATTGGTCCTATAATATAAATTCTTGATCATTAGATTTACAATCTAAGATCAGTAATTGAAACACAATTTAATCCGAATTCATGGTTTCGTAAATGTTATTTTCTTAAAGTGCGTTTGATGTTTCTAAAATCTTTAAAGAGATCTACGATTTCATGTTCAGTATCCGGACCAAAACATCACCTATATCATCAATGTGCACTAAGCTCGTGCACTTTTTACCTTAAATCACATTTTGGACAATTTCAGCCTGAAACTGATGTCTAGGGTCGTTTTTGAGAAAAATGTTATTTTACAAAAGTTGTTCGGAACAAATTTCCTTCAACATAGTTTTGGTCAATTTTTGAGACTAAGCTTTTATCTTGGTTTTCTAGCCCAAAACAACGCAAGATTCAATTTTCGGGTCAATAACCTAGTTTTTAGTTTTGGTCCAAAACTGAGACTTTTCATCGTTTTAGGTTTATATACATCTCCGATCACCAAATAAACTTACTTACACATCTTAATCCTCCTATTCTTTATGAAACCGGTTTTAGTTTAAATTCTCAAACTCAATTTCAGCAGAGTTCCGCCTAATTTTTCACGTTTCCCGAGCTAACCATAGCTCATTTTATCCGTTGTTTCCACCTTTAAACGCAAACCACATTCTTTCTCATTTAATTTTATCACCAATAACATCATAATTCTAGGGTCTCCATAACGAAAAATTGCTAGAAACAAAATCTAATAACCAAGAATTCATCATTTAATCACTAGATTTTCAATTCCTCTAACAATAACAAGTTTAATCATCATCTTAAGCAAATTTTTTCATGATTTCAGCCAAGGTAGAAAAAGTGAGAAGAGAAACCGAAATTTACCTTAGAGAATGAAGAGAAGTCCTTAGTGATGTAAACTAATGGTGTAGTTTCATCAATTTTGATTAAAACTCATTTTTCTCACTATGGGTGAGTTTTTTTTCTTCTCCTCTCTTTGGCTGATGCTCTCTGGTTCTTGGCTTGAAAAATGAGCTTTTGGTTGTATTTATATCTCTTAAAACTGACCACCAAAAGTAGCAGGACTAAAATGCAATTTTTGCATTTTCTAAGAGCTTTTTTTACAAAATTCAATAAAAATATCTCTTTCCTTTCTTCTTCCTTAAGTTCGCCGGCCACCTCCACCTTTCCACATGCCTCCATCTCAGCCCTTCACCCAATTATTCACTTTAAATTTCAACCATCCATTTCTAATAACTATCTTATTTTGGTTCAGGTTAATTCTTATCCGGTACGCGTTTTACCCGCGTTTCTTGGATAGTTGGTCAACTTGGTCAACTTTACTCAACCTTGACTATCCTTTCAAGAGTGACTTATTAATCGACTCTTGGTCAATAATTTTGACTTGGTCAACCCTATTCGGTCAAAAATCTCAATTTTCTCGGTTCAGCCTTCTAAATCCCTTTTTCGTCCGTTTTTCGTTCTAATTGTTTTCAAAACCCTAGAATTGATGTTTTTCATTTCTTTTTCATTTCTTAAACTTAACATTTATGTATTTACCCACTTCTGGCTTTAACACAACGTTCCTTGCCTCTTTCTTAAATGCAATCTGAAAATCGGTAATTGCATCACACCTCAGAAATTTCTAATCTTTAGCTTATAATTTGCTATTCCATATTAATAACAACAAATACTTATCATAAAAGTATTCATATTAACAATACAAGGGATTCCAGGAACTTTATCTTATGCAATAATTCTTTCCACAAATTTCCCGGTCATGACATCAAGATCTCAGAATCCGTACCGAATAAATAAAAAGACACAAATCCATAAATAAGAGTCTGCTAATAACTCAGGATTAAGATCGTTCTATATATGACCATCGGTAGACTCAATTAGAATTTCTATACTTAACAGAAATTATCAGAAATTCATATTGTATATGTGTTCTTGTTTCACATAATCTCATTATGCGTAATACACTCATTCAATATATATCCATATTAACAGTGCAGATAATACCGTTCCATTCTGAATGGGAATGACATGTATTAGTAATGTTTTAATTAAAGATTCTGAACTTTAATTTAATTGTTACAAACATTATTTTGATTATCATCCTTAAATATTATCATCTCGCATATAACACTTATATATAATATTAAGGTCACATAAATAATCATGAAATTTTTATTGAGATTCATAAAATATTCATTTATATATGCACATAAAATAATGAATAAACTCTTTTATTAAATAAATATTCTATTATATATCATGATTGAGGACACCATTCCTAACAATACTGTCAATTAAATACAATTTCAGTTCCGTTTGGTATAAGGATTGGAATCAGGGTGATTTGGGTCTTTGAATTTAGAATCATGATTCATGATTTGAATCATGATTCATGGTGATTGGAACATTTGTTTGGATGTGTGTAGGCATGATTCTAATTCTAACATGAAATGTGATTCGAACTAGTGTTTGGTTGTCTTGTTTTCTGATTTTGAACCATGACCAAAATAAGAACCAGCTTTTAGACGTGTAAATTACTTTACGTGTAATTTTAAAAAATATAGTTCGTTATATAATTAAAAAAATGAAAATATTAGAAAAAAATTTATAACTCAAAATTAATAATAAGTTGAAAGAGAAATAAATGCAAAAAAATTGTTCATGAATCCATTATTTCTTTTGCATGTTCTCTTTTTTTTCCGTCTTGATTGTTGACTATCCAGTAAAGTGAACTAATGTGATTTTACAGACCCCAAAAAAAATTCAAAGCCAGAACATGATTGCAAGTGTATTAATTGCAAGAGAGCACAATGATTTTCACTGTGGCAAATGGAGGGGGCCCTAATTCAAGAATCATGTTCCTGTTCCTGATTCGGATCAAAACTCTAATCTGATTCTAACCTAATAGCCTGATTCTACCCTTCCAAACATGAGTTTAGGTATAAAGGGTCTGTTTGTTTGCGTTTTCGTTTTCATTTTTCACGGTTTTCAAAGTAAAAAAATGAAAACGGGTGTTAAAAACGTGTTTGGTGTAATTTTTTTTAAAAAACAAAACTAAAAACGTTTTTGTCTTTTTGTGGAAATCAGAAAACGAAAAAAATGTGTTTTCATTTTCTCGTTTTCGTTTTCTGTTTTCTGAAAAATGGATTTCACTTTTTTTTTTCTTTTTCATTTTCTTCCCTCTTTTCTGAAACTGTTTTTGTATTCTATATGTTTATTTAATATATTTATTTAATATATTATTATTTAATATATTTAATAATATTATTTATATAATATATTTAATAATATTATTTATTTAATATATTATTATTTAATATATTTAATAATATTATTTAATATATTTAATAATGTTATTTATTTAATATATTATTATTTAATATATTTAATAATATTATTTATATAATATATTTAATAATATTATTTATTTAATATATTATTATTTAATATATTTAATAATATTATTTA